ACTCCCACCCGCTCAGCCCAGTTCAGCCGGCTGTGTGAGGGCAGGACATCCCCCTTCCCCGCATGGGGTTCCGACGCTTGAGGAATGGGCTACGTCGCCCTCCCCTCAGGGGATGGAGACCCTCTCGTGGGCGGCCCCTTTTCGGGGTTGCTCGGGCTCCCCGCAAGTCCCACAGGTGAGGGGCAGCGGCGTGGGGCAGCGGCGTGCCCGGGCCGCTCTCGGGGCGGAGGGATGGGATCCACGGGGACCTCGGGGCCTGTGTAACCCACCTGGAGCATCCGAAGGGAGGTGTGGGCTGGAAAGGTCTGTTAGCCCAGGGGGATCGGCGAGTGTGGAGGGACGGGAAAATTCCCTGTGGGGAGATTGATGAGGATGCGGATTCCCTCCATCCCATTCCTTAGTACCATGGTTATCCCATCCAGGTATTCCTGCCTCTGTTGCTTTCTGTGTAGACATGCTCAGTTCATGGAAGCATAAAGCCATGTGTGCCCAGTAATTCTTGTGCTCATCATGATGTGTCTGTGTAATTGTGTGCAGCCCAAAAGCAAAGGCAGGAGTTTGTCCTGCAGTCTGTTCTGTGCTGCTTGTGTTCAACCTTGGAAGGCTGGCCCACCTCAAACCAGAAGGTTATGGTCCCATGTACCCCTGTGGAGTCGTGTCTTTGCACATTTAATAAAGTTTTGTGAGCTTGCTTTCATCCCAACACCTGTCTGAAGGTTGATCTATCCATATTACTCTTGAAACGCAACTTCCCTGCCCAAACACACCATAGCCCACTTGTAGCTGCTGAGGTACATCCACAAGAAAGTCCTTGACCTGTAGTTACATGAAGAGCTGTGTTCACTGTTGCTTGTAAATACATCAATTTATTGTGCTGTAAAGTGCACCCTCAGCGATAGCTGGGAGCCAACAACTCATCTTTTCAGATCTCTTAAGGCTCCATATTTCCCTAATATATGGAAACAAAGAACACACACAATTGGACAAAAATATGCCTTCTATGAATGCTTTTAGTAGCATGGAAAGTTGCCTCCGTGCTGTTCCCATCCAGGCACACAAGCAGGGTGCTCTCAGGTACTGTTCTGAGACCTAAAAGCATTTCAGCTCTGTGCTCGCTCTGGTGGAGCTGAGATGGATCTTGAACACCACCATGAATATTTGATGGGTGATGTCCATTAGTTGACAGCTGGGAGTTGTAGGGAGTGAGTGAGCAGCAGAGCAGAGAAATACTAGCTAAGAAATGGGGTTTTATTTAGGTATTTAATTTGAGAGGGATACAGGTCTTGCTTTGGGGATATGGAGGTACCTTCTGTTTCTAGCACAGTGAAACATTCAGACATTCTGGGGGTAGAAATTGCTGTTTGTGCTCTGTCTGTGCAGAGTTTGGGAGTTCTGATGACAGGCAGGTTTTCATTCACGGCAGTTGAGCAGAGCTCAGCCTTGGCACCAACAGATTTGTTGTTAGGAAGTTCCTGACTTGACTTTGGCTCTTCACAAGAGTGAATTGGGTTCCTCTGATGAAGTTAAATTGAGCCAGACTGTCTGGTTGTAAAGGAGGTGTGAAGGAGTTTCATTACAGACCTCACCAGCTGTTCCTGTAAATACAAAACTCTTCTT